AATATCAAGTGATGGGATGAACAAGTGAAGTGAAGGTAAGGTACACGCCTGTTCACAACAGTTGCAGTGCCACTCAGAGCTTTAAATCGCAGAGATCTGAGGGGCACTGCCAATGTGCCCGTAACCCTGAGACATAAGTTGACAAGTCCCATGGACCTGTAATTTCACCAGCACCCTCACCCACCAAATACAGTATTACTGAAATGACCGCTTGGCGGCAGAAATAGGTAAGGGGGCAGGACGACCTTGGACGAACTCTTTCACAAGGATCTCTACTGCTACTAAATATCCCTACTTTTTCCAACAAAAAATCATCATCGAAATTGGTTCACAAATGTCGGAAGAATCGCATAACGTACACAAAAAAACAGTCGAATTAAGAACCTCCTCCTTTTTTAAAGTCGGTTAAAAAATAGAGTTAACTAACTTACTCCACTTATATCATGACTCTGTTTTCCACCATACGTTCACTTTCATCCGTGTTTTGAAATATTTTTAAAGATTATTTAATTTGAATTTAGCCGAGGCGAGAGTCATTAGCTGCGGTTGTCCGTGTACCATATTTTCAGGGGAAGCGCTACCTTGCATAATTAATCGAGATTTTTTGACGGTTTCCATTACTTTACCCATTTTTCGGTAAGTTCACTTTGCGGAAAAATAAACTTTAACCCAAAACCACTAATTGAGGTCATTGGTAAAACAGTGTTTGGTTGAAAATGGAAAAAAAAGAATCATAAAGGTGGAATTCTAAAAATAGAAAGGATGGGAAAGGATCGTGGAACGAAATGAGGGTATTTGAAACGACAGAGCCGGCGACGCCTAATGGGATGTCCTAAGTACCATTGGAGTGACGAAATTGGTAGAGATATAAACACCTTTCAAGTAACTGAACGGCTTGAAGGGCTGCGAAACAAAACCAAACAACGTGTTCTGATGTTAAAACCCAAGCACTACTTTGGGTCGCTGAGTAAATGTAGGGGTTCTATATCTGTGAAATAGTGTAAAAATATTGTTTCTAAACCTCTCTGGTGTTATAATTTGAAAAGTAGCAATATATTGAGCATTATTATGTAATTAGAACAATATAATAATAATATTACCAATAACGTACTAGACAACAACACCAATAACCTGTTCTCAAACTAGGGAATACTTTGTTTATATTATTTAATAACAAGTAATGGGACGAACCAGTCGTGCTCCTGGTGGTAAGCGACACGCCTGTCCGTAACAATTGCAGCGCCACTCAGCGCTTTGAATCACAAAGATCTGAGGAGCATTGCCACTGCGCCCGTTACCCTGAGACAAGTCCCATGTGCCTGTAATTTCCCCAGAACCTTTACCCTTCAAAACCGGAACGCAGCAATGCTCATATTACTGCTTGGCGGTAGAAAAGGGAAGGTGGCAGTACTTCCCTGGACGAAGTCTCTTATAAGGAGCTCTACAGCTTCTAAAATACCCTGTACTGATGATGAGTGCACTCTGGGGCACTATCCAGCACAACCAGATCAGAA